CCTGTCTTCAGAGTAGCCACTGGTTATCATATAAACAGATTTTTGCCTTCACAGTTCACCAAATAATGTTTCACTAAACTATGTAATTACAACATCAAGTACAACTGCCATTAACAACTGATTGGGTACAAATGCAAATAATATTTATAAGTACACAATAAATGGTCGGAATAAAAGTTCAAGAACAAGCTACACAGTAGTAGAACGCAATTCAGTGATGCAGCATGGGCATCAAGCAGTAAATGAATGAAGAGTATTTTAAATGAATAGAGGTGAGTTAAAAAGTGAATCCGTGTGTAAAAGGCTATTCCTAAAAGTCTTTGCTTATTCTACCCACCAATCAACCTCTAACAACTCATAGTATCAGCAACTTCTGAATCTGCTTCTACAATTTACGCAGTGCCTGCTATGTAACAGGCATCATACCTTGGCACTTTTTATGAATTTTCTCAATCTTGAAGAGCATAATTACAGAGTAACTCTCCTTTTTTAAATTTTTTTAAAATGTATTGTTTTTCACACGTGTGTGTGTTGCTGTTGATTTGTTCTTGAGATGGCTACAACACCAAACATAACAGTGCCCTCAGAGCTAAAGAAAGCAGTTCAACACAAATCAGCTATATCAATGTAATAAATTTGAATACAGCTAAAAAGTCTGACATTACCTCCCTAAAGAAATAAGCATTAGAAGTTTGTGTTCCAGAAAAAGAATATCATGAGATTTTACCTAATTCCAGTGAAAGCTATAAGAAACATGGACATGATTTGGCCATATGTAGATATAACTTAGCTATAGAGTTTCATTAAATTATTGTAACTATGTGATACATTATTAGTAAAGAAAATAACCAAAATGTGTAGCGTCTTATCTATCAAATACATAAACACTTCAAGTTCACTGTTAAGAATTCTTTCTGATAACTAAGATGATGGGTAGGTAGTGGTATGAGAGAATATAACCAATCACTTAACTATAGTTTAAGAACAAATCACTACACACCTTCCTTAGGTCCCACAATAGGAGGAAACCAAACATTTATAGTTTCTAAACCTCAACTTTAAGAAGGGAGTTGGAAAAAACTTGGCTAACAGCAGCCTCCACTATGTCTCTAAAATGTATCTTTCCCCACATACCTCTCTCATTCCACATGTTCTGAGTAGCTCAGAGGCTCTCCAACGTTTCTTTATATTAATGGATAATACACACTGGATTTCTACACATTAAGTACCCCAAGTACGGTTTTGTCCTACAGATCAGCACAAAAGTGATACTTTAAAGTAGCCTAAGTTACTAGAACCACACTGCCTCCTGCTCCTACAGAATCTCTACAATTAGAGAACTAGATACCCCAAAACCGCTAGTCCCAAAGAAATTACATCTTGAAATACCAACACCCAGACACATACTAACACCACCAATCAATACCACTAAGTGTGTAATTGCTTAAGAAAAGGCAAAAAAGATGAAGATTAGAAAAAACAGATCACTGGTGGTTTCAGACTTTGAAGTAAAAAAAACAAAAAACTGATTGAAATATGCACTGTGCTACTTCCAAGATATTATTTTAAACATGTTGCTTAAACTCTAGAAGGCTCTGTTTCCTAGGGTCAAGAGCGAGGGGTTATTCCACCTAATTCATACAGAGTTGTCTGAACAGTAGCATTTATGGTCCCTATAGTAGCCACTTTTAATAAATTGTAACAGGTATCGCTGTTATTGTGAAGTTCAAGATAACACAAATCCAGTTATAATGTAAGTCTAAGGGAAATAGAAAAAACCATCTTCCCTGTAACATGATCCTACATGGATTTAAACACTAGTGTTGTGAGGGTGATATTTTTCTAAGCATTCCTTTGATAATGAATGTCTGGGGTTAAATTATTTTAGGATTATCTAGTATTTAAGGTGACTAAAAGTCTTATACATATTTATCCAGAACTGTGGAAGTTTTTCCTTTTATCATCCCACTGTTATAGTCAACTCTCTTTGTATGTACATTCCTTACATTTCACTTTATCCAGAGCAAATCTCACCTTCAGAATGTATTAACAATATAACTATCCAATGAACTGTGAATTTTTGTTATTTAATATTTCAGCATTCCCTCTATTGTGTGTGATATATCCTTTTGAAGCTCTTTGAAACTAAACAACTATCTATTCCATTCTGAAAAAAATCTGAACCAATAAACTATACCAGAATAATGGTCTAGTCCCAGCATGGAGGGGATTACAGAGGGGACACAGAAAAGTAAATGGAGAGCCTTCCATTTATTACTGAGTCACGTTTTTACAGCCTGGATTTATTTAATGTAAAACCAATTACCAGATTACCAGACACACCCATATTCAAATGCAAGCAAAGAAATATGACAGGGCCATGCATAAGATGTTTCAGATTTTATGCTTTTCTACTTTTCTCCAGCAGCATGAATAACAAGGTGACTATTCTAATTTATTTCCTTCAATTTACTATCCTTATTTGCCTGCCTACTCCCTATCAGCATAGAATCTATACACTTAGACCTTTATACCTCAAACTGACTCATTTTTAAATACAAGGCATTCTGGACTTCCCTAGCCTGATCTCCACCTACTTTCATAGCTTCCTCTCCCACAAAGACCTCCTGGCACAGCAGCCTTATGTCCAGTTCAACAGGCCTCATAATACCCAACCCACATGCCTGTGCTGTGGTTGTTCTCTTCACCTAGAAAACCACTCCTTCCCGCCCCCCCC